GAGAGAGAGAGAGAGAGAGAGAGAGAGAGAGAGAGAGAGAGATGGCAGGCAGAGGGACTGAGTTTGCAATCTTACAGAAACAATCATTTTGGGTCAGTCCATCTCAAGTTGCTTAACCTCTATGCATTTTGGTGTTTTTATGACTGAGACTCTAACCCTTCCCATAATAAACTGACCCTAAAAGCTGAACTTCATTACATTTGCACTTAAGTTCTATGTCAAATGAATAGGGCCTTTCGCACCGCAGGAACCTTTTCATAGTACAGAACTAATTGTGGAACTACCCACTTTTAGTATTGAAAAAAAGTATCGGTTTTAGTATCGAACTGCCTTTTTCGAGAACCAAATTAGCTCCTACTCCGGAGCAGGGTCTAACCAGCACAACTGGTACTAATCGTGACGCAAGTAGACATTGACTGGCCAAACGCGTATGAAAACGCCCTCACCCGCCATGGTGTAAACATACTGTAAACATTGTGTCAACTTATTTTGCAAGTATGGAGAACAGCGATAGATGGACGGACGCTGAAGTGCAGGCACTTGCAGCAAATGTAGCACTGCCAGTTGTTGTTGGAGATTCTTAGTCCTCCTTTCCGTTCTTTCAGTCGCTTTACGTATACGTCGACTTTCCATGTCCATTATTGTGAAACCCACGAGACACAACAAACACACAGCTCCGATCACAGCGTCCTCCATCCTCCTGTTGTTAATGTTGTTCTTCTTTGTTTCTGTTGTTGAACGCCGCGCACAAATGACGACGCTGTCGCCCGGCTTACATCACTTCTTAGTACACACTCTCGGTGCGAATGCAACCCTTTAAATGCTACTGGGAAATAGTTACCACAATATCATCCCAGTACTTTAGTACCGTACATTTAGTTCTGGAACTAAAGCGGAGCAAAAGGGCCTAATGTGTTGTGCTTCATGACACTCTGGTTAAACAGTGGTTTTCCAAGGGCTGCACGATAAATCGAAATGGAATCGAGATCGCGATTCGACAGAAGTTGTGATTGTCGTGCATATCTTTCAGTGAAGCACGGTTCTGTGATCAGCAGTAAATCTCCATCCGAAGGCCAGAGAAACTCTAAATACGCCTCGCAGAAGAAACCCAGAAAATGGCTATCGCTGCAGCTGAATAAACAGAAGATTCAACTGCTTTCATTGATTCAACGTGACTAATAAACACACGACTACCGCAATATACGGTTTATCTGAGTTCTTATTATTATAATTTTCATTAAAGTAAAGTATATTTATAATGCAATGACTTTATCACTGCTTAAATACTATGAAATATGTTGCGTGCCTTATTCTGTGTAAGAAGCCACATCATCTCACAGAAGGATTTATTTCAAACACTCGACTGACGTTATGAAGTGAGTTTAGAGTAAAAGTTATTAAGTTATTAAATGTGGTATTTTCACATGCTTTCAGATGGAGCAGCATTTACTTCACAGAGCCGTAGTTCACTGAGAAGCTACGCAAACAGCTGGCATTATCGCGAATGATTTCAGAATCGCGCAATAAAGTAGTCTGCGATTTTTTTTGCGTACCTTGTCAGTGAACTATGGCTCTGTGTAGTAAATGCTGCTCCATCTGAAAGCATGTGATGATGATTTCCTGCTGATTACAGAACCGGCTTTACTAACAAAATGTGCATGACAATCGCATTTGATTAATCGTGCAGTCTTAGGTTTTCCAATACCAATATATAGAGATAATCACGCCAAAAATTTGGAAAATTAAAAACTTTACGATTTTTAAGCCACTTGAGATAGACTGAGGAAACACACCAGCAGTTTTCTAACACACACACACACACACACACACACACACACACGAGACTGAGGTGAGCAGATCTGACAGAACTGAATCAAACAGGAACACGAGTGTGAAGAAGAACAGAGAAACTGATCTGACGACAAACAGAAACATCACAGACGCGCAAGGAATGTGATCAATGCAGAAAAACCTGATGGATCAGATGTGATAGGTGCCACAGAGACCAGAACACACACACACACACTCACACTCTCACTCACACTCTCTCTCTCACACACACACACACACTGACACACCCACACACGCACACACACACACTCACTCTCTCTCACACACACTGACACACACACACGCACACACACACACTCTCTCTCTCACACACACACACAC